CAGCAGCAGCAGCAGCAGCAAGGCAGCCAGGCGACCGGCAGCTCGGCACCGCGTTAGGCTCGGCTCGACGGAATCGCAGAGAAAGCCGGCTGTGTGCGGCTGCATGAGGCTGCAGACCTGCGGATCTGTACCAAGAAAAAGCCGCCGCCCTCCATCGGCTGGCCACGCGCAACCAGCGGAATGTTTGGCTCGCTCGGCCCGTCTTGTCGCCAATCATCTGGCTGCTTGTCGCCAATCATCTGGCTGCCATGCCGCCAAATTGATTCCTTTCCGGGCAACACGAGGGCTCACGCTGCATTTCGGCACAGGCACCGAAGCTGGACACATTTGCACTTCGTTGGTCGCTTCATCCGTCGGTGTCAAGCCGAAACCTTAGGCTCAAATGGCATGCATGGCGTGAGATCTAGGATGACACACACTTCGGAGCAGGGCTGCCTCCACTCTGCGAAGCCGGAGTTGGAGTTGGAGCAGGTGTTTGAGACAAAGCCTCGCGCTGCATTCTCGACATTCTGATCGCATCTAGACGAGGCTCGCCGTGAGAGAGACATGCATGGTCGATTCCCCACTTTTTTTTTTTGGTCTGGTGCGGAATTCCCAGAGGTGGCCGCCAAAATCAGGCCAGACAAACACAATCATGCATGCACACTGGGATCGAGGCGTCTTGTCCACCGTGTGGTTCGGAGGCTCAACCGCCCAACGCTTCGAGTCGCGTGCGTGAATTCTTCGCTGTGCAATCCTGGCTGCTTGGTCGGCCCCGCTCGGTTTCATCTCCGAACGGCTCGAGGAATAAACGAGATGAGCGGGATGGCAAGCCGATCTGGCGCGTTGCTGTGTTTAGGCTTCTCCTTTTTTCCACGGTGGGTTTGGTCGCATGGGGTCGCAATCGCGCACGGCGCCGCTGGTGGGCGGGCGGTGGGCGTCATGACAATTCCGCACGCAATCCTATGATACCGTAGCGTGTCCGGGTTGCGCATGGAAAACAATGAGGCGCAGCTACCCGCGCACTTCGCTTCGCATCGGCGCACTTGCACGGACAATGGCACGACAGTGGCATGCTGGCAGCGCCAGCGAGCATCGCATCCGAACCAGGCCAACCACAGTCCATTGCGGAAGCGCGTCAAGCGAGGCTGGGGGTATAGTAGCACAATCGCAGCCATCCCGCAAGTCGACAATCACAAGAGCCGAGCATCGGCGCTTCATCCGCGTTTGCGCGATTGCGCTTCCACCCCGCCTCTCGACAAGTCGAGGCTCTTTACAAGCGCGCGCATCGCCGAAGACGCTTTCCGACTGCCTTGCCTCCTTGGCGCCTTGGCGCCTCGCCGCCTCGCCTACCCAGCGTCTCGAAGAGCAGCGCCTTGGAAAGCAAGCATCGTCTGATCGGTACCCAACATGTCGGGCTCGGCTTGCTGTGCAGCAAGCGAATCGATCTTGACGCCACGTCGCAGACTTGCAGATGCGCTTGCGGTGGTGCACCGAACCGAAAATTCCCTCTGGCCCGAGAATCCGGTTGGGGGTACGACCGCGGAATTTCTCTTCAAGTGTTTGCTACTAAGGTGTAACATTATACCTAATTCGGCCGGCAGCTGATTCACCAAAATGTTGGATCATCCTCCACTTGGACGGGTCTCCCCCCGCAATGCGCGCGGCCCCAAGCTGCCAATTCCATCGTCGCAAGCCACCTCTTCCTCACCACCAAATCGTCTCGATCCACCCAAAGCATCGTCCGCGTTGCGTATCCAACATGGCGCCCAAGACCTCAACGCAAAAGTCTCTCTCGTTTCGGGCGCAGTCCAAGCCCAAATCAAGCCTCTCGGCATCGGCCAAGGACCAGCTCAAGCCGAAATCCGGCTTCAAGCCCACAGTTCGCACTCCCGTCAAATCTACCTCGCCGCCTCTCGTCAAGCAATCCACCAATACTGCCGCAAAAGATGAGGCGGATGCGGCACGGGAGGAGCTCGATGTCGACGATCCGCGCTGGGACGGCGTGTGGCGCAGGGCGAAAAGGGCCATGAATGTGCCTCCGTCCAAATCTGTGCACATTGACCACGAAGACCGCATCCAACAGACGCTGCGCGTATTTGACCTGGATCCCAACTTTGGTCCATGCATCGGACTGTCTCGCCTCGAAAGGTGGCAACGTGCCAAGGACCTCGACCTCGACCCCCCGCAAGAGATCCACGACATCCTCACAACAAAGCAGGGCAACTCGATACACAAGGAAAACGTCTTTTCCTCCCACGGCCTCTGACCCCATCCACCTCGTCCAGCATCGCTTGATTATATACCCTACAGCTCGCTCATGCAATGCAGATGCTTACTCGTTACGATTGATGCTAGAAGGGTGGATTAAGATGCGCTAGTATTACAGTAGTGCTCGAAGTGCTATTGTACATGGTGACGGAGGCCCCGACCTGGGCCACAATTTCGTTGTTGCGGCAGTGGGAGCCTATTTGCCCTGCTTTTGCTTCTGTTCTTCGGTCGCTTTGCGAACCTCGGACCAGACTTTTTGCTCCCACTCCTTCTCGTGCATCTGCTTTCTCTCCTCGGCCTCGGCCTCTTCGTACAGCTCGCGGTGGTCGATGTACCTCTCTTGCACTTCCAACGCATCGCCCCATCCGAGCGGGTCGCCTCGATCCGCAACGCTGAAGAGCGAATGCGCATCCGCTCCCATCTGGCCGCGAAGCGCAGCGCCAGCGGTCGCTGAAGCGCGTCCCGGCTCGTACGCACCCTCGTTCTCCTCGTCGCCGTAGTCGTAGGCATTGGAGGATGCCGAGACGTAGATGTAGCCCACCGCCTTGTCCAGCACCTGCAACAGCCGGAACATGGAACGACGGTCCTCCACGGCCAGCGTCTCGAAAGAGACCAGACCAAAGTCCTCGACGAGCTCGCAAATCGCTTCGTTGAGCTTTCCGAACTTCTCGTTGCGAAGGGAGGATCCTGGGCCGGAAGGCTGCGAGAGCAGATCGCGCAAGTACGACAGGTCCTGTACCTGCGTGTAGAAATCCAAGTTGAAGGCGAGATCCGACTGCAGACCCATCTCTGCTGGATTACCGGAGCGATCCGCCGAGGCGTCCTCCATGTCTTCGTCGTCATCTGCATCCGTGTCGCTGTCCGGTCCATAGCGGTCGAGAGAGCGTTTGGAGCGCGAGATGAACGACTGGCCCAGCAGGTCCACCTTGGATAGCACGTTGACGTGAGGCAGCTCGAGCGTCAGCATGGCTCGAAGCGCGAGGATGAGAATGGACACGTATCGCGAGGCATCGGTGATGTGGGTCGCATCTGTGAGATGGACCGCGACAAAGCGCAGGCCGAGCTCCTTCTCGAGCGTTGCGAGGATGCGCTTGAGCGCCGGATGGTTGGTGGACAGCTCGACCTGGCCGGGGAGGTCGAAGACGAGATACTCGAAGCCCGGACTGACAGGTCCAACAGGTGTCTTCTGGTCGCCATGTCCGGCGATCTGACCCGTCTTGCCCTGACGCTGCTCGTCCATGACCCGCTTGAGCTCCTGGATGAGCCAATCCACATTCTTCTCGAGGTATTCGATGCAGTACAGCATGGCAGCATTCGGCCCGAGTGACAGCTCAGCCATCACGTCGCGCACGGAGATCAGACGGTTGATGTCCACAGCACATGGATACGGAAGCCGGTCGTTGGCAGGATCCAGGTTGATCACGCTGCAAGGCCGCGAGAGGAGCGACAAGAATTGGTACTGGCCAAAGCAGTAGGTCGTCTTGCCCGACCCGGGAGGGCCGATGACCAGCTGCGCGAACGGCATGTTATGAGCGGAGGGCAGCAGCCGTCTGGAGCCGCCTAGCACGTCTTTGTATCGATCTCGCAACAAGAGGTGATGAGGATGCTGGTGGGCTGTCGGTGGATTCCGGCTCAGCCGTTGCTGCCGACTCCATGCGCAGCAGTGCGGCTCTTTTTCGCGACCCTCTTACTCACTGCCGATTTCCCAGCCTTGCCTTTTTTTCGAAGAGGTTGGAAACAAAATTGGCCGATGGGGTTCTTCCAAAAAGCCACTCCACCGCGGCGTTGCTCTGAAAGTGGCGGCCTCCACTGCTCAGCAGCTGCGCTCATGTGGAGATGGGCGAGGCGCGTGACCGGCAAGGGGTGATTTTAGAGCTGCTCGGCCACACAGCCGCACGCGTGGAAGTAGCTAATCACAACCTCATCAGTCGAAGCAACACCGCACACCGCACACTCGACCCTCCCTTTGTCTCGCACTACTCATCACGCACACCGACCCCGCCATTGCCCGCCACGAGACAGAGACTCAGCAGCACCTTTTGTCCTCAGCAGCAACTATGGGTGACGCACGCCTCAGACGCATCAACAAGGAGATCAACGATTGCAAGAACGACAAGGCATCGGGAATCCAGGTCTCGTTGATAGATGGTAGGTTTGCTCAATCACGGCCATATCGTCTGGGCCTTTGCCCGTAGAGCCGCACTGACGGCTGCTGCTGTTTGCCACCACCTCTTGCCGCCTCAGACTCGCCGTTCCACCTCGTCGGCACTTTCCCAGGGCCAGAGAACTCTCCATACGAGAAAGGCACCTTCGATGTGGTAAGTATGCTATTCGCCAGGCTCTAGCCTGGCTCCTGCATACAAAGAGCCGCAACGTTGCTCACGCTCACAAACGCCGCCGACAATGTGTTTCACATCCTATTCAGGACATTGTCGTTCCCGAAGGCTACCCGTTTCAGCCCATCAAGATGAAGTTCATCACGCGCGTATACCACCCGAACATCTCGTCGCAGTCCGGTGCCATCTGCCTCGACATCCTAAAGGACCAGTGGTCGCCGGTCCTCACGCTCAAATCAACGCTCATGTCCCTCCGCTCGCTGCTCTGCTCGCCAGAACCCAACGATCCGCAGGATGCCGAGGTCGCCAAACACTATCGGCGAGACAAGGACGACTTTGAAAAGACCGCAAGGTACTGGACCGAGATCTACGCAAACGGCTCCGAGTCTGCGCAACCGCCATCGGGCGCCAACGGCAAGACAGCACAAGCCGACGACAAGGCCGATCCCATCCTACTGGCTGGCCTTAAGAAGGAGCACGTTGATCAGTTTGTCAACATGGTGAGTCTCGATGTTCAAACTCAAATGCTTGCCTTGTCTGATTCGGCGCGCTGACGACCTTGCGTGCCCTTGCATCAACCGTAGGGCTTTGAGAGCAACAAAGTCATCGAAGTGCTCAAAAAGCTCAACTACCGCGGCGCAAAGTAAGTCCGTCGAGCTCCATCGCTTTGATGCACTCGTGACTGCGGACTGACCCAGGGTTCCACGTCCCTTCTCCTTCTCTACACAGCATCCGCAACATCAACGACGACACTGTGCTCAACGAGCTGCTCAAATGAGTTGTCGTCGACCAAAAAGCATTCCCATCAGCTCATCTGATCTGCGCATTCACCCGGCAAATGCCATCTGCGTGCGGCCGCACAGTCTCGCACTCTTGAGCGCTTGCCGTCTTGTTCTGGGTTGAGAGCGCACAAGGATCGATTGCTGAAGGCAAAGTATAGAAAGAGAGCCAGCTAGGCGCCGTTGCGGCTGAGGTCCTCGAGGTACTGGGAGAGCTTGAGCGCGCCGGAGCGGAAGCTGTCGATGCTCGACTGCACGTCGGGATTTGCCATGAAGCGCTGGTAGTACTCGCGCGCGGTGGCTTCAATGTCGCCAAAGTCGCCGCTCTGGGCGGGCATCTGTTCGGCCTCTTCCTCATCATCGCGGCCAAAGTACTGGTTGGAAGAGATGGAGGTCTGGCCTTGGAAGCCCTGGAGACGTTGCTGGGCCTCGCTGGTGGCTTGCGGGTCGTACGAGCCGCGCTGGAAGTACTGGTCGGACGAGATGCTCTTCTGGCTCGAAAATTTGTTGCGCGCATAGCTCGGCTCGTCGCCGCCCGCGTCCGAGTCGGTGGTTGTGGCATTGTTGGCCGCCGCCGCCGCCCGCTCTGCCGCCAGCTTGGCCTGGTGCGCATTCGCCTTCATGCCGAGACGGCCGAAGCCCATGCCGAGTCGATCCATGTCGCCGTTGGCCTTGGCAGCTGCAAACGCATCGGGAGCCGAGGCGGCAGCGGAACGCGCACCGGATGCTCCTGCCTTGGAAGCGGGCGAGGCGGGTGCTCCGGCCTTGCCCACGGCGGCCTTGACTGCCTCTCGCGCAATGCGTTCCGCCTCCGCCTGCTGCTCGCTGGCTTTCTGTGATTCGCGGGCCTTGGCCTCGGCCTCTTCTGCCGCCTTTGCCTCGGCAGCACGGGCAGCCTCCTCCTCCCTGGCCTTCCTTTCTGCGGCAGCAAAGTCGATGGGTGCGCCAGCCTTCTTGGCGCCCAAGCCGAGCTTGCCAACGCGCACCGGTCGTGCAGCTGCGGCGGGCGCGG